AAGGAAGGAAGGAAGGAAGGAAGGAAGAACGAAAGAAAGAACGAAAGGAAGGAAGGAAGGAAGGAAGGAAGGAACCAATTGATAAACACATTACTAACCTTTAACCTTTCATACATGGGCGGCGATAGCTTGGTGCTGTTCAGGTTTAAATATTTTAAGCTCGTCATGACAACTAGTGCAGACAGACCCACATCAGTTACTGGCGTCTCACAGAGATTGAGTGATTCCAGATGATGAAGGTGTTCTGCCACCATTTGTAAGCCAAGATCACCAAACTAAACAAAGACAACATTATTATAAGATAATTAAACCATCATAACATGAGGCTGTCGCGGATGGTGTGATTTAAAATAATGGTAATCATGATGGTGATGATGATGATGATGATGATGATGATGGTGGTGGTGCTAGTGATGATGATGGTGGTGGTGGTGGTAGTGGTGGTGATATGGTGGATGACTTAGCTGGTAGTAGATGTAGTGGTAATTAGGACAATGATGATGGTGATGGGGATGGTGGTGGTAGTGATGGTGATCGTGGTGATGGTGGTGGTAGTGATGGTGATCGTGGTGGTGGTGATGGTTGTGGGTGTTGCTCTTGGTGGTGTTATGGTGGGTGACTTGTCTTGGTAGTAGTTGTAGTGGTATTTAATATGACAATGGAGGTGATGGTGGGTGTTGGTATAGATAATAGGTGTTGTTGTGTAATAGTCAAGTATTTACCTGTGTAGACCATAGGTTCAGGTGTTTCAGTCCTGGTAACAGTACAATGTGTTCAGCACATGCACTGGTCATGTGGGTGAATGCAAGGTTTAGACTCTTTAGGTTCCCGAACGAACCGGATTTCAAGAGTCTGGCCAAGTCATCATCCTGCAAACAAATAAGAAAGCAAAAGCAAGACAGAGTTAGAACATTATAACATGAATGTGAAACATAAAAATAGACGAGTTAGTGCAAATATGAGGTGATGTAGTTTGAAGTGTATAATAGCTTTTTTTAACCTAATGAATTAACTACTCCATGGTGGACAGCGTAACACCTAACAGGTTTTGCAACCCAATTGATAAGACAGCCGATAGATCGAATTAGAATTTATAAGTTGATTATTGTGGAGGGAGGAAAAACCGGAGAACCCGGAGAAAAATCCTCAAAGCACAGGAGAGAACCAACGAACAACTCTATTCACATACGACACCGAGATCGGCAGGACTTGAACCCGGGTCGCATTGGTGAGAGACGGCGCATTTAAAGTTGAGGTGAATGTTTAAGAGCTGGATAACAAAAAATAGGTGGACGACTAAGCATAGAAAGCATTGTGCGTTCTCTCTCAATGTACCCTCCCACTGATATCATTATCTTATTTATTAATGAACATCAATCAATGATGATAAGACGGTACGCCACACGGCACTGTGACGGTATGGAATAAACGACATCCTTTGAACCAATCACAGCAAGAGAAATCCCTACTTGGCCAATCAGAGTGCTTACACATAGAAATTGGCCAGTCGTGCAGTAAAACAATCAGATTTCTTAGCACATGAACAGAATAGTGAACAATAAACTGTACCGTGGATTTGGTTGGTAAGGTTAGAACTGTTGGGCCTCCTTTCTCGATCTGTGAATAAAAGATTCAGAAGACACATCAAAATGTGGTATAGAGTATGACTGTGAAAAGCTCGCGGCACGAACACAGTCGTGACACGGCAAGGCATAAGCCAGACCATTGCTAATGAATTTACTCTCCATCCAATCAAATGCCCGAAACACGGCATAAACACGGCGTGGACACGGTCACGCCAAGGTCACGGCACTTTTACACCAATCACATTGCGCGAGAAAAAAATCAGCCAAAAATTCTTGAAAACATCACGGTCAACGCACGGCACGCTTACGACACTGCGCTTTTCACAGCCATGCGAAAACCGCTCTATTTTTTACTATGTATCCCTAGTCACTGACAACAGCGGTTGCTTGAAATGTATCAGAAAGAATCAGAAGAAGCGCGCGGGGGAGGGGGAAGGGGGATTTTTACCGACTAAAGAAAAGAAGATGCCTTTTAGCCAGAAATATGGCACATTTAACATTCACATATTGGAGTAAAGGGAAATTCTGATGACTAATCATTTATCATTAATTTTGGACGCTAGTGCAGCTGAGAATATTGAATTATTTAAAGTATCATGATAGGTTTATGACATTATGGTTGATGCCTTTACCAAAAATATGACACATTTAACATTCAAATATATTTGAGTAAAAACAAGCTAAGAGGAAGTTCTTCTGATTAATCATTTATCAAATTACAATGAGTGACGTCATGCAGGTGAGGGTATTGAATTATCTAAATTATCATGATAGATTTATGACAGGTTTTGGTGGAGTAGACATCCATGTTGTACGACTTCCTCTGAACACACAATCAAGCCAGTCATAGTACAGAAAATACTGGATTACGTATGGTCTTCAAACGACGCGACACAGTCAAGGCACGGAATTGACGACATTCTCATTGAACCAATTACAAGGCGCATAATCACTGATCGTCCAATCAGATATCAGGGCATGGCACAGCTACGATAATAGTCCGAGTTTTTTTACAGTTATTCTATGACAAAGCGTAGTACAGCATGTTCTACTCTTACACAAAACCTGGCAAAGTTAGTGAGTTAAATACCATTTCTCTGAACTTGTTTCGCCTGAAATGAAAAAGAGAACGAAAAAAGTTGATGATAAAATTTAAGATTCATATTTTTTAATGCGCTTTTGTGTTTGGGGGAGAGGAACATTAGGAAAGAAGTGAAGGTGACATTCTTGTTGATTCATAAGACTGGTATGTGTGAACTCTATGTTGGATTCCTGCTCATGCAGAAAAGATGGTGATAGTGGTGTTGTTCCATGATTGCTGTCATAATTAAACTCATCTTCGCCATTTAACATCATTATCAACATTGTCATCATCAAAATTAACAACAAAAAATCATCACCATCATCATCATCACCATCATCTCCATTATTATCATCATCAACATCACCATCATCATCACCATCATCATCTCCATTATCATCATCACCATCATCATCTCCATTATCATCATCATCACATCATCATCATCATCATATAATCAACACTATGAAACGAAAACATAAGTATCATCAATATTACCACCAACATGCAACATTGCAATCATCAACAGGAACAGGAAGAGCCACTTAGTTTTCCACAAATACTCACTTTTTACAGAGTTCTTCATAGCATTCTTTGCCTTCTTCTGTGCTTTCCAACGTGGAAACAATTTGTAGCTTTTCGTTTTCATCCTCGAGGAGTTCCACCTCCAGCATGAATGTTAATGCCTACAATATAAGAACATAGACACTCGTCAAACACCCCAGTGAGCATGTTTAAAATCTTACATTTAGTACTCTTCCCAGTAGACTGAGGCAGTGCCCAAAGTGCAGTCACGTTTTTATCACGTGGTGTAACTGACTTTTAGGCTTGTGCCACCGTCTGGTTATGTCAGAAGGTGCATTTGCATTGTGTTTGTTTATTAGAAGAAGAGTATGTCTACTAACCTCGATGAATGGGACATCATCTCTGAGGTGCATTTGTGTTGTGTATGTTTATTAGAAGAAGAGT